AAACATTTGCGTTACATCCCAAAGCATCAACATTATGAAGCACCCTGCCATTTCTTGGTTCTCTTCTGCTCACAGGACTCCCTTGTACCTCAGCAACTGCACAAATGTTCTCTGGTTCCAAACAGGAGCCTCTCCAATGGGTGTGCACTTGCATGTTCTCTCTCTCTCTTTCCTCTCTCTCTCTCTCTATCAAAACCAACACAAAGCCAAGACCTCTCACTTTCCATCAGTGTTATTTTCAGAAAAGAACTGAAAGATACAGCATATCTTTATATGCAGTGATTATGTACATACATATAATTAACAATCTGTAAAGTTTCCGGCAAAAGAAAAATGAATTTCAATCTGCATGGCGACATCATTTTATGTATCATTGGCTTACTTGAGATTCTTATATGAGTCTGGCGGGCAGTTTCCAGGGAAACCTCAAAGCCAACAATCACATTTAGACTCATTTCCGTAGAGCTTACGAGCCCAGTGATAACCAGGCCAGGGAGAGGCTTTCAGCCTGCTCTTTAGAGATCCAATGATGCTTCAAGAGACAGAAACAAAGGAGTCAGAAACAAATGTGTTCCAGGGACGCCTCAGACTCTTCTGCCTCTCACCTTGCTGGTGATGCCTCAGTACCCGCTGCTGGCCCTACAGCTGGCTTTCCTGGAAAGAGAGTCTTATTTAACCCGTCTTCCTCGGCACTGCAAACTGTCTTGTGAACTTCCTCCAGTGAAACCTCTGGCCTGATCCGCTAGGCCTTCCCACCTCCTCAGAGTCTCCCAGGGACAGGCCCGCAAGCTGCAGCAGCTGCTCCAGGGAAAGGTACGAATCCCTGGCCCCCGAAAGGACTTTCCCACGGTTGGCTTGACCCCACAGAGCACAGCCGATAGCCTACACTTTTAAGAGCACAGAGAGCCAGACTTTTTTTAAAAATTATAAGCAGAGTTTGAATCGAGTTTTCTATGCCCTGTGCTTTTCATGCTTGCCAGACACAGAAAGAATAAAAGACTCAGAGCTTATCTCCTGGCATCTTAGAATTTTTTAAGAATTCAATAATTAACTACTGGGAAAGTTGTGTTTGTGACTGTGCAAAGTCCACAGTCAAGCAGGAACTGTCCACCGGAGGCACTGAGCAGTTTTCCAGGTAAAATAACACACTGGAGAAGGTGGTAGCACCGAAGCAACACAGAATGCCGAGCTGAGGAAACAGCTGCTGTTGCATCTGCTGTAGTTTGAACCTGACGTGTCCCCTAAAGGTCCATGCGGCAGAGCTCGCTCCCCAGGCAGCCACTGCCGGGAGGAGGCAGAGCCTTCAGGAGGTGGGGCCGAGGGCAGGCTTGCAGGTGTTGGGGGGCCTGCCCTTGAGGGGACCATGGGGCTCTAGTCTCGTCTTCGGCCTCTTGAACGTAAAGTGAGCAGTTCTGTCTTCCCACCTGCTCTGCCATGATGGGTCCAGCTGGCCATGGATGAAACCTCTAAACGGTGTGCCAAGATAAACCTTTCTCTCTGTGAGCAGATCAGCTCAGCTGTTTGTTACAGTAACGGACAGCTGTCTGCCGACCATCCTAGTGAGCAGCCCCCAGGATTACTCGCTCTTCGGTGCATCTGAGGCGTCTCTCCCATGCCGTGTCTGACCCATGATTGAGCAGAGTAAAATGTGCCTGTGCTGTCACCACTGTTGTCAGCACACCCTGGTCCAGGCCCTGCCACCTCTCAGGTGGGACACGACCCTGCTCTGAGCTGGCTTTCGGAACACTCATCTTCCCGCAGACGGCCGGACTTCCGGAAGCCACTCTCGACAGCCAGTAAATGAACGGCTCGGCACCACGCTCCGGTAGGACCTGCAGGACCTTCAACCCTACCCGTGCTGCAAAACCTCCACAACCACTTCTGTGTAGTTTCTTAGCTTTTAGGTGCTCTAACTGTGACAGCGTCTGCCACTGTCATGAACCTAACTGTAACTACTTGGCTTGTAACCAGCATTATAACCAATTCCATATTTATCCAATATTTAACAAGCTCTTTAAGTGAGACTGTTCCATTACACACAGCAGAAATACTTCTTAAAGTAGTATGTCTACAATTCTCTCCTCAGAGGTCATTGCTACTATAAATTTGTGTTTATCTTTCCCATGTTTACTTTGACATTTTTACTATGTATGTACCTATAAGTAAGGCACAGATAATAAAATATAATGTTTATTACATATGATTAGCTAGTCTATAATTGTATTTAAAAAAGCTAAAATAGAGCTTGCTTTGGCATCATATATACTAAAAAGGCTAAAATAATTCTCTATGGTACTTTATAGACAAAGTATTTAAAATTGAAATTTAACGGGAGGTTAGCATATAATATACACACGCCTATAAGAAAAAATTCATTGTGAAGTACTGGCTGGAATACAGCAACCTCACATTTTTATCAAATTCTATGTAAGCTTTTCTAAATTTTGAGGTTAGTCCAATTCTTATCAAAAAATCTAGCTATGGTCCCCAAAAGCCAGCCCAAACCCAGTAGAAAACAAAACTGCAAATAAAGTAAAAAAAAAATTATTCCGCTCAAATCACATTACCTTCAAACCACATTACCCCACCCCTGATGGTACAGCTATTAACTGAACCACAGTAACTGAAATGACGCAACAGCTACAGCTACCCCCACAGACTGAACTCGCTGTGGGTCTGACCCTGTCATGACTGTTTTCCATTTGTACCTCACTTAACCTTCACAATATCCAAGTAAAGGAGATGTTAATATTATTCCCATCTTGCAGATGAGGAAAGTAGAGGTCTACACAGATTAGATGACCTGTCCAAAATTAAGGGCACAGCACGGCAGAGCCTGAGTCCAGGCCTGTCCTCCTGATACAGAATCAGCCCTATCTTCCTGTGCTGGGGTCTGCACTTCCGGTGTGGCCTTGGGAACAGTCTCTAAAGCTCATTTCCCTTAGCTGCAAAGTGAGAATGATGTTAATAGTTCATGAGAAAGTATTGAGCAAAACATGGAGCTATATAATGCTGTCTATTATTTTGAGATTAAAAAAAAATGCTGAATAAAGAACAACCTATTTATCAGCTCTTGGTCAAAATTTTCTAAGAAAATTTTACCAGGTAAACACCTGTGATTATTTTACCTTGCTTAACACACAAACCATGACGCAAAGATAAATACAAACCAGTATTGTTACGACCCTCCAAGACATCAGTAAGCAGGAAGAGAGTAATCTAAAGGGAACACTGAAACAGAATGAAGCTTTGGAGATGGATGTGAGGGAGCTTATCATAGCACCGGAGCTGCCTCGGAACTGAGCACTTAGCAAGCTGCCTGGACTTCCTGTCAGGCCCGAGTTTACTATGATCTTCCCGCACATGTTGGCTTCCGGCAATATTTAAAGCCACAGGCACAGAAAGGGAAAATAATTCACCAAGGTGATGCCTATACATGGTGTGTGTGTGTGTGTGTGTTGTACACAAGCAAGTGCATGTCTATCACTCTGATTTAATATCAGAAAGTAAAAAAGTATCTCCTCTCTTTTTTGGAACTGAAGAAAGCAATGAAGTACTTGTTATATGAAAGATGAGTATAGAAGGACATATATAGAAGGACAGATGGGATAATTATAATGTTGATGTCTAATGGTTTATTGAAAGGAACAGTTAATACTTAAATTTTTTTGAACAACTTTGCATGCTTATGTCTGGTTATCTGAACAACTGATCTGAAGGCAACAATATGTAACATAACAACCATTGGTGAATTCCTACCATCTTATCTAGCGAAGCTCTGTATTATTTCTAATTTTTTTTTCTATTATTTTTATTTATTTATTTATTTATTTATTTATTTATTTATTTATTTATTTGCTTTTGTTTTTTGGTACCGGGAATCAAACTCAGGACCTTGCACTTGCCAGACAGGCACTTATGCCACTGAGCTGTATCCCCGGCTCAATTTTTTATTCTTTTTAATGGTTTGCTCCATCTTGCATTCTTACATCTGGCAATCTGAGCAATTTCGTTAAAGATAACAATATGTAATATAACAACCACTATTAATTACTATCATTCTGTTTTGAAACTCTGTACCAATTTTATTGTTTTTGCTTTGTTTTGTTTTTGTCTATATTGTTGTTGTTTTTTTTTATTCTCTTTAAAATGAAAAGGCACCCCCCCAAAAAAGATTAAAAATAGCAGTAAAGGAAGCAATAGAAGTCTCTAACACACACACAGACCAGTAACTACTGCTCATAAAAACATGAACCTCATCTTTTTGCCCTGTCGGGACAAGAGGCAAAATCTAGCAGTTGGCGATGAGCTGAGTGACCTCATATTCTCTCCCTACTGCACTGGCCAAGGTGACCATGACTAACACCCCATGGTCCCTCTGCTGGATCTCCTCCCAGCCACCCCCTGGGCCTGCCCCAGGGCACTGTCTGCCTCCAGCTAAGAGGCAGCTGGGATGGTGGTGAGATGGCACGCTCCCCCGAGGAGAACCAGCCACATGCTCGCAAACACTGGCGAGTCTCCAGGCTTTTTCAGTGACTGCTCCCTGAAGCTCAGTGACTACTTGCCTAAGCTAGATGAGCGCTTACCCAGCCTAGGCCCCAACCTTCTGTCTGTAAGGTGAACTAACTTGCTGTCCTGTGAAACACCAGGACCTTGTCACTTCAGGAATTTCACATTATTTTCCCAAGATTTTGAGAACTTTCTGAAGTGTGATTTGTATGTATCTAAACTTTTTATGACATCTCACCTTTCTTTATGTCTACATTATTAATGATTTAAAGAAATATAGCTGACCAAAAGAAATAATAGGAACAAAGGGGCCAAATATTTTCATCAGCTCCTTTATTCACGTCTTAGACATTCACACTATTAGATGAAGAATGAAGAAAACTAACTGCATAAACCCAAAATTATGCACACTGACATCATCAAGAACTCTTACGAGGTGCCCTGAGAAGGAAGGAAGTCACAGGACTGCGTCAGTCCGGGGTCCTACCCACCTCCCGGTCGCTCGTGGTCTCCATCTGTGTGCAGGAGCATGGCGATAGGCAGGCCCACGTGCTTGGATCTTCCCACCACAACCACATTTTTCCCAAAGGTGTCGATTCCTTAAAATACAGAGTTCGATTTAAATGCAGGATCAACAGCAAGAAGCATACACCTGAGCAGTCAAATGAAGACTTGTTTAGAAAACGCTAATTAAATCTGAATTGTGTGGCTTGTCTCTTCTATGCCTGTATTCAATTATTTATGTGTATTTCCTCTTATGCTTCTTGGATTTGTCCCTTACTTCCTCTCTGATTATATACCATTTAAAAGCTACAAACATAGCCGGGTGTGATGGCCCATGCCTGTAATCCCAGCATTCGGGAGGCTGAGGCAGGAGGATTATTGCGAGTTTGAGACCAGCCTGGGCTACAAAGTGAGCTCAAGGCCAGCCTGAACTGCATAGTGAGATCCTGTCTCAAAAAGACAAATAAATAAATAAATAAATAAAACTACAAATACCTTCAAGTCACCATTAAATTGCTTTTAAACATTGTAATCCACATGAAGAAATAGAAGTGCTGTGCCTTACTATATACTAACTACTAATTATAAAATATGCCAAGTAATAATATTAGGCTTAACAGGCAATCCAACACGGAGCAAAGGTAGGCTCAAATAAAGTAGAAGAAGGGCATTTTTCACAAGGCTCATGTGCTTTACTCCATAAGAAAGAAGTGCTCAACTTAGAGCTTTAGAAAGCTGCAAAAGGTAAAGCTTGCAGATTTAAAATACTCCACCTCTTTTGGGCTCAGTCCTTCATAAGTAGAAGAAGTTAGAACTAAAGTTTTCCAAGTTCTAATACCATACATCTATGATCCTCGGATCTGCTTTCTCTTGGAAATTTGTCATCAGTTAGAAAACAGCAGATCAGAGAGGCCAAGATGCTATGAGAAACGGCAGGGAGAGTGGTGGGTACCGGAGTCCCTACCTCCAGGCAGGCGGTATTGTCGGCGACTGGGCCTGCTTCACAGAGCACTGACCACCTCTGGGCACCTGAGAATGATCCAGCGTGACTGTGTGGGCATAACTCAAGAGGAATGCTTTTGACAGGAACCTGGGGCAACAGAGGTGGTTCCTGGATGATCAGCACGTTATTGTAGTAAGGAGAAATGTAATATGCACCCATTTTGGAAAGTGTTCATCAAAATGCATGAAATTACGGAGTCGTAAATCTTACCTGGAAAAATTCACCCCTTACAACTTGCAACTGCAGTTACCTGAACCCTGGCACATGTTCTTGACTTTACTCCATTTTGGATTCCGTTTTGATTTCTATAGCTTCATACCTGCCTACAGGCCGAGGCTTTATGGGTTATCATGTTCTGCCGTTCTACAGGCCTGAGGTAGCTCCATCCGAGCAATGGACAAATGCTCAGTCAAGCCTCTGCCACCTATGTCCTGCAGACCCCAGGTTACCCACCTGTCCTCCTGATGATCTCCCAGACAGCACCAGCAGTGGCAGGGATGAAGGAACGCTGGTCCAGGCACAGTCTCCCCACATTAACAACATGAAAACCGTCCACGTCTTTTTCTGGGGCAATTCCATTGCATATGGTTCTCTCCTCCACGTGGTCTGAGAAGGAAATAAAAATGGTCTCCCTTAAATCTCTGTGATGCGGAAACCTGGAATACGAAACACCGGATCTGCAGTCAGGTCATGTAGGATTCAGCTCCAGGAAGATGCGCAATCATCACTCCCTTCTGGCCACCAAAACGGTGAGCCAGGTGCTTGTGCCTGGCACTGGGATTCACTGCTGCTGGAGCTTGTGTTTCTGTGGGGCCTGGGGGAGCTGGGCTGGAGAAGGGCCCGGAAATAAGACAGCTCAGGAAGAGCTGAGAGAAGCGGGCCTGATGTCTCTGCCTCTACAGGTTTGCATATTTAGAGGGGGTAAGTCCTACGTGTATGATTCTACAAGAATAATAAAGCAGTGAAAAAGCAAACTGAACATCTGAACAGTCACTGAAACATTCTTTAAACAGTGTTTTTCCACTACAAGAAATTTCCGCTAGTAGGCTGTTAAGAACTTTGAGCACTGCACATTCAAGGGCTTCTCTCGGGTTAAAAACAGTTGTAACATCATTAGCTTCTAGCCTTGTCTTAAATTATATCACATAATAAACATGTAAATATCACATACATGCATGTGTGTGCATACACACACACACACACACACACACATCCTTATGCTGGGGCATAGCACAATGAAATCCAAAATATCACCATATGAGAGGAAAAGAACAAAACCTGAATGAGGGAAATAAACAAGATAGGGGATGCTAACTATCTCATTTTTACAAGTATAGAAACACAAAGTATAAAATATAATGGGTTCTTTCTGTTCTACACGAAGTAGCTTAGGTTACCATTAAGCCAATAACTAAGCCATGTGCCCAAAATATTAAAATAAAATGTATTTGGTATATAAATCCACTGTACAATGGTTGCTGCTTAGATATAACTTTTTAAAACTTTATAAAAGCACAAGTTAGAACTGTTCATAAATATCTATGTCTTCAAGCAGGGTGGCATGCCCTATAATCCCAGCACTGACAGAGGCTGAGGCTGAGGCAGGAGGATCATGGGTTCGAAACTAGCCTGAGCAATTCTGCAACTTAGCAAGACCTGTCTCAAAATAAAAAGTAAAAAAAAAAACAAAAAAAAACAATAAACAAGCCCTCCCATTTATGAGCTATGTCTTCTGTCTTTGTATTCTAAAGATGACTACTCTCCCCTTACTCTATTTTATTTATTTATTTAGTTTTTTGCGGTACCAGGGATCGAACTCACAACCTTGCGCTTGCCAGGCAGGCGCTTATGCCACTGAACTATACGCCCAGCCCTTTTTTTTTTCTTATTTCTTTTTTCTGGTACCGGGAATTGAACTCATGACCTCACGCTTGCCAGGCAGGCGCTGTGCCACTGAGCTAAATCCCCAATCCCTCCCTTACTCTAAATAGATCCAATTGACCATCACCTCACCAGTCCTTTAAGTATATAAAAGAGTCACCTGAATAATTTTCAAGTAAAAACTGGGTCTTTGAAATATCCCTCCACTCAATAGTTTTTCTTTTTCAAAGACAGAATATTCTACAAGAGTAAAACCTCACCTGTTTTCCCTAAAGCCTAAAGAACATTACACAAACTTTTAAAAAATTACATGTTCAACTGCTTTGAAGATAACAATATGCAATGTATTAACCATTGCTAATCTCCTATTATCTTGTTTTGAAATTATGTATTATTGGTTTTTTTCTCTTTAAAATAAAAGAAATTACATGTTTAATTTACTTTTTAAATAAAAAGTGATGATTTTAACAACCTGGATGATGACTATGAAAGAAACACCAAATGTGATGATGGTGGTGGTGAGTCATGTTTTAGTAACCTACCACTCAGGACATGGATGTCTTTCACAACAAAAGCAAAAGCTTTGTAAACGCAAAGAACAATTAGTAAAGGACAATTATATCTGAAGATTCCTTTTTAGTGAGGGCTCAGATTAGCTGATTGATAAGAGCAAAATCCACTAATATATATATGGGCTGAGACACTGACTAAGGAATTTTAAAAGGACTTTGGTAGATTTTAAGAGCCATCTTATCAGTGAGCTCCAGTTACCCTGAATTCTACCTTCTCCTGGTCTTTGCTGTCCCCTTCACTGAAGGTCATGCTGAAGCTGTAACAAATAACTCATTTCACACATCAGGTGAAATACGTGAAATGGAAGCGTCTGAAAAAGCTCCTGGAAAATTGGTAGTCAGAAGTAGACATGTGATTCTAGACCTGTCCTCTTGTATACTGTGCTTCTTTTTCTTTCTTTTGTCAGTGTCTTCTCCTTCCCTTCTCTTTTTCCTCCTCTTCCTCCTCCTCCTCGTTTTTTGTTTTCTGTTTGGCTGGGGTCAGTGTTGGAGATGGAACCCAGACCTCAGTATACTGAGCACATGCTGTATCACTTATCTGCTTAAACAACTTCAGCTCAAACCATAACCTAGATTACTGTTTCAGGACAATTTTGTCTCAAGATGCTTAATCATTGGTAGTTAAAAAAGACGTGCGGACATACACAAAGTGTACAGAGAGGCTTCAGAAATGCTGCTATTACTTAGCCAAAAAGTATGAGTAAATGAAAAATGTCAAGTTCATACAAATCAGGAGGTATATAATTCAAGCTCTATTACCTCAGGAGTAGATTAAATTTCACATGCATCCTTTTCCAGAAAAGTTCTACCTTTTAGTATACAATGTAGAGTACATAGCAATAATTTTAATTAGCATACTTTAATTTGAATAATGGCTTACAATGGTCTTCGTAGTTACTAGGGCCAAGTATAGCAAAGGTATCGTCTTTATTTTGAAAATGAAGCTCAGAGTTTGAGCCTCAGCCAATACGAACTTACTATTGCAGTAACAGGGGAGCTTCAGAATTCAAATCCATATTGGCTTGCTCTAAAACCATTTTTTCTTCTGCATCACACGGAGACCATAATACACACCAAGCATTTTAACCATTCAAAAAGTAAAATTAGAGAAGCCTCCCCTTTCCCCAATCCTAGTGAGATATGTGATCACCCTAAACTATCCCAAGAAATGCAGTTTCTTCTAAGCCTTCAAATACAACTATTCCTGGAGTAAATGATACATATCTAAGCATGTATGAAACAATAGTCAGAACTAATGAAGTTAAGTTAGCAAGATCACAGATCACTGTACATCTACATACAAGCAGAAACTACCAGAGGATGACAATTTAAAAATACTATTTACCATACCTTACTAATAAAACATTCAGAATAAATTTTAAAACTCAAGGGTGACTTCTATAAGAACTGTTGAGCATTGATTCAAATAAATGTGAGATATACTGTGTTCATGAGTTGGAAGACTCATTAATATCGTCAATTATCCCAAACTGTCCACACATTACTGCCTTGGTGTGTTAGGCAAAATATGTCCCTGTAGCTCTGTGGGCTGGGTACAAGCTTTACTACATGGGATTCTGGGGTATAGTCAAAGTCTAAACTATAGCATGTGGCAATTTTTTTTAAAGAAAATAGTACAAAAAAAGAAACAATAGCAAAATACAAACAGAAGAAAGCAAGGACATTAAAAACGATATGGGGTTTCAAACCAAATGATAGGGATTAACAGTGGTTGTTATATCACATATTGTTATCTTCAAAGAAGTTGCTCAGATTACCAGACGTAAGAATAGAAGATTGATCAAAACATTAAAGGGAATAAGAAAATAATAATTTAAAAGAACATCAGAGACAATACATAGCTTCACCAGACAGGATTGTAGGAATTCACCAACGGTTGTTATACTGCATATTGCCCTCTTCACATAAGTTGTTCAGATTACCAGATATAGGCACACAAAATTGGTCAAAATATAAAAATATAAAGAAAACCTTTTAATCATTAACTGTTCCCCTCAATAAACCATCAGACATCAGCAGTAAGCATGTGGCAATTTGCTGGGAAAGGAAAGCCTTTTCAACAAATAGTACTCTAAATGCTAGGCAGCCATAGGTGGTAGGAGTTCTAGCCATGATTCCAGCGTCACACTACACAGAAAAAGTAGTAAGAAAGCAATTATTAACTTCATAAAGGCTAAAACTATATAGTTACTGAGTGAAAACTTTAAAGAATATCTTTGTGGACTGCTTATGTTTTTAGAATATAAAACACAAAGGAAAAAATTAATTCAACTTCAGAAAAGTCAAAATGTTAGGCCCATCAAATGATGCTGCTAAGATACTGGGAGAAAATATTTGTTAAACATACATCTGACACAGGAATAGTATTGAAATATATAAAGAACACATACAATTTAATCATTAAAAGATGAATAACTTTTCTAAATAAGCTGCATACTTAAAAAGGAAAGAAAGATATTCTGATGGACAATATGAATGTGAAAAAACAAGATTACTGGTTACCATAGTGTGAGGATGACAGGTAAGGACAGGGGCTGACTGGGAAGTGTATGAAGAAATTCCCTCCACTGAGGAAAATATTCTGTATTTTGATAGGGCTTTAAGTTACATAAAAATTTGCATTTTCCAAAAATGCAAATGGAATAGTACATTTAAAATGTATGTATTCCAATTTTCACATAAAAGACTGAATTTGTTAATGATATACACCCTGAAGTTCCAGGAGAACAATATGTGCTCCTGACTTTAAGTGCTCTAAAAATAGGATGGACTGATAGATGAACAGATGGACACTTGTATGACAAAGGAAACACAGCAAAAGGTTAAGAATGACAGAATCCGGGCTGATGGCATGTGAGGGCTCATGACATCATTCTTTAAATTTTTCTGTATGTCTGATTGTTTCATAATAAACTTTTTTGTTAGGGGACAAAAATAGAAACTGTTTTCCAACATCCTGATCTCATGCTCTACTTTTTTTCCCCCACAGCTAGCAGCTTCCAAAAATATAGTTGCTTCTTTATTATGTTTATTTTTTATTTTCCCTGATATTCTACAAAGACAGAAATTTTTGTCTTGTTTTCTTCAGTGATGCATTCCACAGCCAAATAATAGTGCCTGGAAAATAGGAGA